GCTGACTTCGTGAAGCAATATGCTACGAAATATGAGGAACTGCAGCAGCCACGCTCTTGTCTGCGCGGGCGTGAAATCGATTCGAAGACGTCTACCACCCAAGAAGTGTTGAGTGGCCTGCAACAGCAAAAAGCACTCCAGGAGTCTCGCAAGGATGCGGAACTGGGTCAAGCACATGACACAGACGATGAATACGTTGGACACATCTCTACACGAGACGTTGAGGCCGGCTTGGCCCCTGTGGCAGCGGTGTTGACTTTGTCTCCGGCTGAGAAAGCTTTGCAGCTGGTGCAGCAGAAGCTACCTGTGCTTCAGTCCACTCACCAAGACGGAGCAGAGTATGCAATCTCTCCAGATCAGTACAATGCTGTGATCCTCGCCATCGCGCCCTTGCAACGCCTGTGGAACAAAGCCAACGAAGCTGGACTGGCTCACTGCTTTGGAGATCGCACTCGACTTGACCCGTTGTTGGCTTTGGTTGAGAAGGATTACGGATTCCAAAATTTCGCATGTCCACGCGCTTCCATCGACGGAACTAAATGTCTAAAGACATAAACATAGCTTGTAGCAAGGATACATGATTTTTGTATTTTACATAGAGAATGTACGAATTCATTTGCGCGATGATTAGACCGGGTTGGGGATATATAGATTTTGGATTGGGTTGTTGCGTGTTCCTTTTGTTTGTGAGCCCACGTAGGACATGGTGGCGCGTATTTTTGTACATGGACCTGGAGGCAGCGGCAAAACTTTCATGCTGAAAGAAGTCATCCTCCCGGTCTACAACGAGTTTCTACCTGGGACCACCCGAGGGGTCGCTGCTCAAAACTCTGCCGCTCGACTCATAGGAGGAAGCACGTTCCACCATATGGCTGGCCTCACACGGGCGCAAGAGCTCTTGCTGCAAAAGCCCTCTAAGACCAAGAAGGAGGCTTTGCAGCGTAAGTGGTGGCGGCTTTCGCTGGTCTTTGTTGATGAGATTAGCTTGACTGCACCGAATTTGTTGGCAGTGCTACACGGATCGGCCTGCTATGGTCGTTTGGACCTGTCTCCGGAGGATTTTCTGAGTAACATTTTCGGCAATGTCTTGTGTCAGATTTTGGCTGGTGACTTCCTGCAGCTGAACCCCGTGCGAGCCAGATCCCTCATGGAAGCCTTCGGCATTGAAGTTCCGGGGTGCCTCGATACGAGAAGATGGACGACCAACAGCGCAGGAAGAAAGTCGACATCGATGAACATGGACTTACAGTCTTTCGCGCCTTTCTGAAACAGGTCATCTTGTTCAGAGGCTCTCACCGTTTTCGGAAAGGAGATCCGTTGGCCGAGCTCTTGGAGACGATGCGAGTGGTCGGAGGTCGTCCCTTGTCTGAAGCTCTGAAGGAGGCCATTCGCAAGCAGGTGTATCGCCCGCTGGGAGGCGATCCTCGTCTGAGTAGCGATTACACCATGGCTTCAGGCTCCACTGCGCCCACCGGTCCTCCAGGTTTCTTCGCGCGCGGTGTCTTCAGCGCAGTGAACTGGGACCAGGTAGCTCGTCTCCAGCAGTTGTGCGCATACGAGTCTGCTCGCGCAAGCTTTGGCGTTGCAGCTTTCCGCAACACCCAGACTGGACGTCCCCAGCTGATTCGTCGACACTTTCCGACATATCTTTCGAAGTCCTTTCAGTCTCGCTTCGGAGCGGTCTTCGCGAAGCAGGAATCCTTCTTGACGTCGTTGCTACATGACAAAGGTCGTCTGCTCTACTACGTTCAAGCAGTGGATCTGGTGCATCAAAGTGAGTTCACCAACGACAAATCCATTCTGCGCGAGATTCTGGGCTTGACCAACATGGCAAGTAAAACTGGCAACCTCATGTCGTTCCTGCCGCTGCACTTGGGCTTGAAGGTGAAGGTGACGAAGAAACTTTTACCGCCAGAAATTGTGCAAGAGTGTCCGGCCGAGGTGATCGCCATTCAATTTCATCCCAACGAACGCTTTGGCGTGCCTGGCGCGCCCGCTGGTGGTGGAGTCCCCGCGGGGTCGCATCCGTGCTGGGAGACTGGATATGTTCGCCTGGACTATCTCCCTGCCTCGATTACCTTGCGTATTGAGGCCTGGGCCTGCAGCTAAATATAATCTGAACGTCATTTATACGCGGATGTGACTGAAGACAGGTGTCCTGCACAGTTTGTGAACATCCTTTTTTTAGACAGTTTAATCTAACATTCTGTGGGACCCATGCATCTCTGAGTCACACCTGACTTGCAACAGGATCAGCAAGAAGATTATACCGGACAGCTTCTGCCTGGAGTGTGGCATTTAGAACCGAGTGAAGATTCTTTCCGCGTGCAATTGCATCGCAAAGGAGCCTTGATGTTGGATGTTACTCGGATACAGTATCCTCTTGCTCCGCTGGCTGCTGGAACCTACAACAATGCCCAAGGCAAGACCATCAAAGGAGTTGGGCACACGATTGATTTTTCGAAGCCAGATTATTTTTCGGCAGACGATTATACGCAGCACTTGTACATGATTCTTGGACGCGCTCAAGCTCTCGAGTATTCCTTATTTCGCAATTTGCCGGAGACGCCAGAAGGCGATATTGATTTTTCGATCTTTGAGACTGGTCCACCTGCGTATATTGCCGAGTTTTTGGATCGACTGGAGGACTCTGATGTGCTTGTTGACTTGTTTAATGTGCTATATTGGATATCCACGGACTGATTCACCCTGCTCGAGTGATAAGATATGAAATAGCATTCCATCCGCATGCGTGTGTGTCGATCTTGTATCGTTGTTTGCAGGAGGTTGCGCTTTTGTCTCGCTCTGCCATCGAAGAAGCTCGCAGACATCTGCCTGGTTTTCCAGCCGCGGAACACCTACCGCGACCGACCCGCAGAACACCAGAGGGTCGCTTTCAGTACGTCCCAGGGGCTTGGACGGCGGCTACGAGGGCGAGTGTAGTGACTGAGTTCAAGGGAACGAAAAGGAAGTACGACCCCACCAAGTGGCGTCAGCTACGAACGGATTTCTGCGACATCTGGTCTCTTGTGCTGGAAGAGGTGGCCGCTCCCACGGCACAATTTTTCCGAGAACACGGGGCTCTGCGTGTCTTTGCCGCCGAAGCTGGTGGAGGCGGCGATTGCTTCTTCTTGTCCACTGCGGTCGTCCTGATGCAGGCGCGAGCAGTCCACCCACGACTCTTGAATCTTTTCACTTCCGATGAGGTGGCTGACTGGGACGACCGAACTACGGTTGCGGCTGCTCTCCGCAAGATTGTTGGGCGACACATGCGCGCCAACACGCCAAAAGCATTCTTGAACTTCGTCGTAGGGTGTTTGGTGCGCGAAGCTGCGAGGACATGGCTGGACGACTGGTCCATGATCGCACTCTTGCGTGGCTCTCCTTTTGCTTTCTTGAAAGACGCCAACGATGTCCTCGGAGCAGAAGTTGCAGACAACGCCATGCTAGTTCGCTACAAAGAGGGCGACAGCTCCGTGACGAGGAGCAAGAGAGTGCGTTCTGGCACTGCGGCCCTGGTGTCTTTGCAGGATGCCGTGAGCACTGCTCTCGAAGCTTGTGGGAATACTCATTGGGCAACGGACGTCGACTTTGTTGCGTTGGCCACGGAGCTCAATCTTGGCTTCATCATTGCTGGAAATACTTGGACCCAGACGTCTGTTGTTCGAGGCTCCGGTGACACATCTAACAAACGTGTGTGCGATAAATCCATACGAATGTTGGACTAATGACATAACCTATAGGATAGTTTTCTTCACTTCCGTTGTGTGTGTCTCATATACTTCTTGTCGATGCAGGCGAACCACAACAACGCACGGTCTTGCACTCCTATTTACAAGAAGATCAGACGCCGCAATTGTGGATTTCTCTGTATTATGTGGATGGTTATCATTTTCAAGTGCTTATTTTCGAGATTTTGGGACAATGCCATTGTTTCTTTCGTGCCGCGGATCTGCCAGAACCTTTACGTCAGTGCTTGATTTGAATGCAAAACAAAGATCCTTCATGATGAAGACAGAGCTTGGTGGTGAAGTCCCCAGCGCATGCTGCCTTGGTGGTGGAGTCCCCAGCGCATGATGTCCAACAGCGTGTCAGAGAGTGAAAAAGAGATTCTGACCGGCTGCGTCTCTTTTTATACACAGTGGTTTGACGTATGTGTTTGCATTCGGGTTCGTGGGCTCCATCTTGTTTTTTTTGCCACGGGAGGAAGCACATCTGAGACACTACGGTAAGTACAGAGATATAGACTTTACATGACTGTGCACTACTGGTCTTGCCAAGAGACTACTGTTGATCTTTTCCTAGGGTGTCCTTGTCCATATTTCCTTTGCAGTGTATTGGCTCCAATTTGGAGCTATCAGGGTGCTAACCAATCACCAACTTTTAGCTGCCGTCAACAGTGGTTGGAAACTTGTCTTCTCCCTTCTCCCAGGACCTTCCATAACCGATGGTTTTTGGGACACCCGAATCACCTACACACCTCTTTACAAGGCTATTATATTTAATGCTATTGACAGAACTGGTCACTAGTCCCCGTCACGAAGACAGTATTAGCGATCTACCCAAAAGTTCCTAAAGACCCAACTGGGAGATTTGATGTTATGATTCAGAGTACGCAGCATAGCAGAAACTTGGATCCCCATAAAACCCTTAAGACCATTTTAGGGTGCTCGTTTCCGAAACGAGTCGTTTCCCCACTGTCACAATTCAGAATTTGACAGGGACACGAAACGACTTGCCGAGGCACGATGCACGTGTATTGTGGGTGTTCGCCGAACTGTGAAGAATAGGACCATCACTTGCAGCTTTATGGCTCTCGAGTCTCGCTTTTCCATGGCTTCCTTTTCGTTGGGAAGTGAGAACTCATTCTCTCATTCTCCCATTCTCCCGCCCGAACCCCGAGGCCCAAGAACCTTCCAAGCCACTTGGACCGACTGTAGCGGCGGCACACTGGTGCGACGGTCTGACGGATGACGTGACGAGGAACTCGCTGGTGGAGTATGGAACTCGCAGGCTCACGTTCAGGAACGTCCCACGTTCGGCATGTTCAATCTTCCGGATCCAGGGAGTGGTCGGACTGATACACCCAGACGCAGACACTCCGTTCACTCACTCACAGCCCGAACCGACTCCCGAACCCAAGCCGGGATTGCTTCGACCCCCAACCCCGAACCAGTTCGGATTGGCCGAAGCGAGTTGCATCTTCACTCGGCCACCGATCCGGACCGCTGTTTTCGGGGGCCACCAGTGACCGGTCAACGCGACTGGCCTGTTTCAAGCATCCACACGTCGAGCTTCATCGACCGAGGCTATGCCTTCAAGAAGCCTCCAGCGAAGCAGAAGCTCGAGGCCCAGTGCCACCTGACCTACCTCTGCGACGAGGGCAGGCGAGGACGGCGCGGCGGGGCCCACCGGGCGGTCCCGGTACCGGCAGGGAAGAGCTTCGGAGGTGTGAGGATCGTTTTTGAGCGAGTCGATGGTTCGGGTGTTCAGCACGATCCACCCAGTTCGGGTGATTTCTAGGTCTTGGACCAGGTGTTTGGACCATCACCCCCCACCCCCTTCGCCTGCATGCCGTGGTCCACGCGGTCGCCCACGCTGTCACGGTGCTTCGGTCGCCGAAGGAAACGGGGGCGTCGTCTCGGGGGATGAGGGCGAAGGGTGTGAGGGAAGTAGGGAGACCTCCCAGCCCATGCAGTAGGGCGAACAGTGGAGAGCTGACAGTTAGAATATGGATTTCAATGATCACCGATTTAAATACCTTAGAAATCCTTAGAATATGGTTATGTCGTGAACCCTGGGGGTGGGGACTACCAGATAGAATATGCATATTCTAACTGCAGCGCTCTTCATAACATGCAGCTAGGGCTAGGGAGCAGAGCAGTTGTTGCCTTTGCAATGGAAGAGGGAAAACACACAACATAGTTGCAGGAAAAGAGAAGCTAAAAAAAGAGAGAGAAGATAAAAGATAAAGAAACAGAGGAAAGACACTATACAGACAGAAGAGAACATGTGTACGTAAGATGAGATAAGGCGCACAAAAACATCACGACCGTTTCTGATGCCAAGAACCCACGCCTTCTACCGCGGCCCGACCCCCGCGGGAAAAGCCCTTAAAGGCCACAGTGGGTTGAAAATTGGACGAACGGAGCGATCAGCCACCCTCCTTCATTACGAGTCGCAGTCAGTTCTTTGATAGTGAATCCAGTGGCCGCTCTGCCCAACTAAAACGCCTCTGCAAAGCCTTTCCCGCTCCGCCAGTGATGCGAGCGCTGGCCCTGCTCGCCGTAAACGCGGCGGCGGCGGCCGTGGCGGCGGCCGTGGCGGCGGCAGCGACTACGACTACGACTCCTGGGATGAGAAGGAAGTGGAATTGAAAGTGTCACTGAGTCAACAGATATTCAAAACGCATCCAATCAGAGGCTCATGGATTGGACCCGAACCAAGACCCCTGCCACGACGGTTCAACTGAGGGTCCAAGGTTCCGAGCAAACTGCGCTTACTGAGCCTGTGGGCACGACCCTATACAGAACATTCCAGCTCGAACGAATGAACCATCAGAAAGTGAGCAGTTGCTGAACATGTCAGGAGTTGCTCAGAACATCTCAGAACCCAACAATTTTTCTTCCTAGCGCTAGGAAAGAAGCAGTTGCTGTGATCAGTTGCTGTGATTCAAGTTTCTTTGGGATTTGCACAGGTTTGTGGTTTGTTTGAGGAAAGACCCTGGCTCTGTTGGGGGTGCTAGGCCATGCAGCCCTGATGCCACCAGGGTGGGGTTGAACTTACAGATGTGCAAGTGAGGATGGTTTCTATACATAATTATATGATTTCCTTTGTAACGCTTGCTTGGTAGCTGGACTGGGCAAATGAACTCCACCATGAAAGCCATGCTCTCATACGCTCGCTCGCTCGCTCCAGCACACCTCTCACAACACGGTGTTGACCGACGCGTCGGACCGATGAGTAGTTGAGCAGCTTCGGTGCTACACAGAGCGCCACTGCCGTTGAATGCCGTCATCTGCCCCCGGGCCAGGGGTGTCCAATTAGAGCTCCTTGTCCAGGTTCAGGGACGTCCAACCACCCCAAACCGGGGGGCCTGGTCTGAGGACTGGGGCTCCAGCGTCTGAGTGGGTGGCCGCGGCCGGCTTTCAAGGGAGACCGCGGAATTTCGGAACAGGTTCGACTGTCGAAAGATTGGATCAAAGAGTTTAGATCACCATAATGTTTATAAATAAATATATATATATATATATATTAGATCACATATATATAGTATAGATCATTTGAAGTCGAACATATTTGCACTATCCCCGATGTTTCGACCACTCGTACAGCGCCAATCTTCAGTTGAGCCAAGTCTTGCTAGACCCGTTGACCGAACCGGCCCAATGGCCTTTTCTTCGGTGCGACGGAATGATTGGGGCCTGAAACTCTGGGGCCCAACCTTGATTGATCGCTACGCGTTTTGATGCGACCGAACGGGCGGGCGCGAACGGACGTCCGTTTGGGCGTCGGACACGGCGGACGTGGCGCGGGACGGGTGGGGTCGGAACATCGTGAAAGAACTCCTGTACACTCCGGGCCGTCGACGTGTGGACCCTCCATGAAGCCGTGCCAATGAGCGAAAGAAGCCGTTGGGAAGTTCCAAAGTCATATGTCACGGACTAGTGAGTGCTGAGTCTAGTGATGACCTCCCTCGTGCTTCTTTTTTCGTAGCGAAGGAGGGACGTTTCGCACCGCAGAAATTACACAATTGGATCCATTCCTCATTCATTGCACAGTTGAGCGAATGAGCCCTCCCGGACCTGACCTCTTTTTCGGGCCTCCGGAGGTCGGGCCCAAGGACCGGACCCGCCTGGCCTCCGGCGGCCCTCCGGGTCGGCCGGCCGTTCGCGCCCTCCCAGGCCCGAGGCCCTGCAGGAGGCGCTGGACCAATGTCGTGCATGGTGGTCGGGGACGCCCAGGCGTCACGTCGTCGCTTTCGGGTCGGAGAGACGCGGAGATGCGCTTTTGAGGGATTCTCGTTCCTTTTTATATTTGAGAAGCATCACTTCTCAATCATCTGTATTTTGATTAAAGGATCTGTGGTCTTGGCTAGTTAGGGAGTATTAGCCGAGAACCTTCAAGCTTCCAGAAGTTGTTGTTTCTTTTGTCCTCCCCTTGGTCTACAGTCTACATTCCCCTGACACTCCAAAGGCTGGTCGACCATATGCAGTCATTTCAATTTTACACCCGATGGTCATGGATCTTCAGGGACTCATTCCAATTCTTCCCAATTCTTCATCCTCCGCAAGAAGAGACGAGCGAACGAAACGAGCTTCATTCGGTGACGCGATCGTTCTTCAGCGCCGCGCGTGACGTCTCGTCGGTCAGCGGTGAGAATCGACGGATTCTCAGAGCCTCCGGGACCAAAGATCAAGCTTCCCACTGAAGAACGAAAACGAAGAAGCCTGAGAAGAATCTGATTGTTCCGTTCGTTTTTTTTTGTTTTGGTGTCTTTTTTTAAGGCATGGAAGTGAGTTCCTTGTTGTTTTAAACGATGTCCCTTTCGATTTCCCTTTCGATGTCGCACCCGTTCCCCAAGCGTTCCCAACTCTTCACACGGCACTCGCGTCGTTCGCGGTCACCGCTCACCGGTCTCGTGCGAAAGGCGGGGCTGAGCGGCGAGGAGAGCACCTCGATCCCAGGTGCCTTGAAGATCGTGAAAGCGCAAAGAGAAGAGGAGTATCATACCCACCATGATTTACCACAGACGGGGTTGTTATTGGAAAATACATGAAAAAGCGATGGTCTTCATACACCAGTATTTTTTTGGTGGTGCTGGTCGTTGTATATGTTACGAACAGTAACAGTACCAGCCAACAGTATCAAACACCGACAACAAATTAGCCCAAACCATCCCAAGTCATGCCTCATTTTTGGGGATATTTTTGCGGGGTCAGAGTCGAAAGAAGTCGAATCCCCTCAGTTTGTTTTCAACCCTCGAAACAGGTCGGTCGATTCTTCGGTGGGCATCTGGGCTTTCGTGTTCGGCACCGTGTGATCTGTGCGACGCATGGGTTTGGCTGGGCGCGCCACCGGTCACTGTAGGTCGGCTGGGTCTTTGGTTGTGTTTTGAATGGAGGGTATTTAACGGATTAGGGAGCCTTGGGACTCACAGTTGATCTCTGCATAAAAACAACCCTGGTTGGCCTGGTTAGAGAGGACATTGGAAGGGGCAAGGCGGTCCTTGATTCTTGTGACAGTTTGGCCACCCTGCATGTGTCCAGGGAAAGATCCAAGAAGCTTAAATACAAAACTCTCCTTTGTTAGGCAATTCTGATGACCGTCATATATCGTTCTCCATGTTGCTCCTATATGTTCCATCAATACCAGAAAGATCCTGAACGCCTGAACGAAGCCGTCTGCAAAATCACTTTGGGGACCCTCCTCCTGATCCTCCATGTGCATTCAGAGCTTGCGAAAAAGCAGAGTCATACCCGCAGCGAACAATTCAGCGAGCTGTGCAGAGGTGTTTTGCAACACCGTTGGGTTTGTGCCGATCATGTTCTTTCTTTGTGCCGAAGGATCCCCAGCTTGGTCCTTGAACACCCGAGAGAGGGTGCCATTCTGGTGGCAACTGAACAGCAATGGTCCAACTCTATCTGGTCATTCACCGGAAAATGCCGCACCCTGCCGTTGGCTTTTGGTCGGTGACACCGAACATTGTTGGTCGAAGACCTGACCCCAGCATGGACATATCCATCGTTTTTGGGACGTACTTGGATGTACGGTTTGGAACGTTATATGCAGTTCTACAATGAAACACCATCAAGAACTGCCATGGGCCACCGGCATCTTCCGGCCTGGGGTCGAAAACGGGGGTCACGGTCACATCTGTCCACAGGGGAATGAAAGGGTGACAAAGCGACCGACCCTCCGTGCTTTGACAAACCCATCCAGGATGACTTGGTCGATGACTTGGTCGTTGGTGCTTTTTGGTACCTTTTTGGGAAGAACCGACGGCCATGTATACTATACAGGCCGGGGGGCTGATTTCTTGGTTCAACCTGTTTCTTCGGGTGTTTTTTTGCAGGGTTGGGTGTGACATGTCCTCCCCATGGGGTGCAGAAGAATCGATCAAACGAGATCAAACGAAGAGAAAACCTAATAATATCGTAGGAGTAAAATCGAAATTGTCCATCATTACTGTAGCTGAAGTGAAAGCATCACCCATGCTGCTTCTTAAATCTCTGTTTTAAACTCGCCCGTTTGCCAACACAAATCGTGGAGTAAGCTATGCAAGCTATGCTTCCGCTTCACTGATTTATTTGTGTTGATCAGAATTGTTTTTTTGCTGCAACAAAGAACAGAAAATCCCTTCAGCTCGGGATGCACAAATGTTGGGACGCCTTGGTCGAATCCTGTTTGAACACCAGTCAGAGTCACACGAGCCGGAGAAAAATCAAACACCAGTCAGAGTCAGTAGCAGCAAGTTAGGAACCCTTCCCAGGACCAATGGTCAAAATAGGACAAAATCCAATGATTGTCAGTACCTGGACTTCCAATACAAACAAACCAGTAGAACAGGGGAGCCTCTCATGTTTCAAGCAGGTCAAGCTGCCCACGGTCTCCACCTTCGCCTCAGCACCACGGTGTTTTTAGATTTTTTGAACCGGTTGGAATGCATGGCCGCGCTGGGTGCTCTCAGGAGGAGTGCGGAGCAATTCTGGGGTGCAGGGTGCTGGTGTGTCACTGTCAGCGAGGAGGACAACCTCTTCAGGTTATGGGTACACAGTGATTTGATATGAAGAATGGTTATAAAATGTTATATATTAATTGATGAATTGATCATCCATGCATGGTTGGTCTATCAGATCATAGTCATCATTACTTTCAGAGTCTAGGAATTGGTGTAACATCAAAGACTCGCCTTCTTTCGACCTCCTCTTCTTCCAAACGATCAGGATCCGTGACTGCACCGTTTTTCCGGTTCGGATCCTTCCCCATCGTCGACATCGACGTCGGTCAAACGGGGCGAGCGCGTGCTAAGCGTCTTCTTTCGCAGCTCAGCGGAGCACCCGATTTTTTGGGCCCATGCGATTCCGTGGCGAAAGCAGCGGCGATTTTCCGTGCCTGATCCAGGCTTCGAGCCGAGGACGAACCAGCACTGGTACCGGTGATGCTGGATGGCTTCGAAAAAGGATAAAACAAGTCGTTGCGATCTTTTGCATTTATATGCTATGGCGCCATGCATAGAATTGTGATCCGATCTTGGAGCCGTAACGATTTGCACAGCATTCTGATGCCGCACCGCCGCGATGTTTTGGTGTTTGAAGTGTCGGTCGATGGGCAACGGCGCCCAGAGTTTACACGACCACTCCTTTTGCCACGGTGGGAACTACGCAGTGCGCTGCGGCTGTCCAGACGGAGCGCTGGGGACCTGAACGATGATTCTCCGTGCGCAGAAAAGAATCCGAACTCGGACCCCATCTCAACCCTTTGAAGGAACTATATTACCCTGGAAGTCCAATTCGACGATTTTTGGAACCACCCAAGTAAAGGAAATTCCTTTCGGATCACCCAAGAATGGCCTTGGACTCCCAGGGTATATACATAAAATATACATATATATATATATACTATATTATATATATTGAAATAGTTAACTTGTGCAGAGTTTGTGTCCCGACCTTGGCGAAGCTGCGAAGTGTACATCAACTGGATTGACGTGACTTTGCAAATATTGGGTACCATTTCTTGGTCTCTCTCAACCGAATTTGGCATCTCACCGTCAGAATCCATCCAAAGAAACGACTCCCCAGCCAAGCTCATCCATCAGCAGTTCCTGCCGCCGAAGTCTTTTTTTTGCCCGTCCAGTTCATCGCTCCGATTTCGGGGAGAACCTCAATGGAGCTCCGGGTAGATGGATCCCCGGATTGCCAGCGCCTCGTGCCCGCGCGCCGAGGGGCTGAGAGAGTTTTCCACCGCCCTCCAAAACCGAAGCGCTGTGATGGATGAAATGGACGGTCGTTCGTTTCAGGTAAAGCCCCTCAATCGAAGCCTCAGTTTTTCCTCTCCAGTTTTTATCGGGCCGGTGATTATTCGCCCCAATTCCAAGGCAATGACAGGAGTTCAAAGGAATTGA